AATTTGTGCTTTAAGTGTTATTTATTTATTCATGTGACTATATTTCTACTCCATTACATTTTATAGAAATATATTTATATTATTCTACTCCAGAACATTTGTCTGAGAGCTATTTGCAGACCAATATCTTACATACAAAACATGTAATTATCTTGTAAAACATCATCTATTTTCATCGATTTAACTTCAGTAGAATTGCATCAGTAATATTAAATATGATATACATATCTATATTATATATGACTAACGTAAAAAAAGGACTCTTTTTAAGACATGCATATCCTGTCAATGTATAAAAGTGATTTTTCTGAAATTTGATCAAATTAAAAACAAGAAATGTTTAAGATCAAAGTCGACCTGTGGATACACTCTTTACAGATAAAAACAAATCATGTTGGTATTGTTGCTAATATCTTACAAACAACTCATCTGCAATGTTTGAAGGAAAGATTTCCACTCGATAACTTTAAATAAAGCATTTCTTTCCCTCTAGTGAAAGCTAGTGAAATTGTGAAAAGATTCTTACTTTCTGTACGTAATATTCACGATATTTTGAGAGTTTTTGTCACTGGTTCACACAATTCAGGGGCCTCCCTCATGGCTGATCCCCAGTTCGGGTCCTGCTGGGGACCTTTGTTGCATCTCTATACTGGTGCTGCCTATAGTGGAGGCATTAAATGCCCCCCAAAATAACAAGAATAAAATAAAAATAGTACACACAATTCAGCTACAGCTGTTGTTTTGTTGTTATAATCAGAGACAATACGGCTCAGTATCTCACGATGGATTGAAAAACCGAGGACCATGATAACCCCCCTCTCCACAGAGAAACAATCAGCACCCATGCATCTTATACCTGCGTTTATTTTTCTCTCTTGTGGTAAGCAAGAGAAGTCACTACAGTGCGTGGGAGAGATGAAGAGCTCCCAGAAGGAAAAACTAAAGAGGCCAAAGTGAAGCCCCTGTAAGCATTAATACTAGCCTTTCTCCTTTTACTTTATTCAGAAGAAAATAAGATCTGAGCATATAAGTCTGCCACTGAGGCCCCACAGGACAAATAAAGAGGAGGGGGCTTCACAGGAACAGGGACAACACTGGGAGACGTTGGCGAAACATCGTTGTTGAAAATAGAACTCTGAGCCCCGGCTCTTCATGTGGAAGAGGCCGGGAGACGCATGCGAAGTAGACCATGAGCGGAGCTGTAACAAGATGAATCAATCTTAACCTCAAGACTTTCGGTGCAAGTGTGTACAATTTTCTTCATCCTTACGTTGCTGACGACAAACCTAAACGGGCTGTTTCAGTGCACCCGGAGCATGTGTGGCAAATAATGAATTAGGAATTCAGCTTGTATAGTCCAAACCTTTCCACTGTCGTGTTAAGCTTGACACTTCTCCCTTCTACTGTGTTGATTTCCTAGTGATCACAATTGTATTGTACTTTCCATGTTGCAAACCTCTAACCACATTTGGCCTGTTACTAATCTCATCTCCAATCAAATTTCAGCTCTCTAAATGAACGGTGAGGGAGCAAAACCTTCCCAGGATCAGAGGATGAAGCCGTAACTCCACACTGGCTGCTCACAGAGCAGGAGCATCATCGTAATCACTCAACGTATCGCATCCTAAACACTCCCTGGGCCGCGTCCCCCGAGGGTCTGACAACCACCTTGACTCCTAATCTCAGACATCAGTGCTCTACCATAATGAAAAGGGGCCTATAGTCTGGAAACACAATATGGGGTTTGAAGAAAATCCATTGCTACTAAAAGTGGTGACCCCATATGTGTGTGTGTGTGTGAGGAATACAGTCACGAGTGTATAGGAGTGTTACATTGTTGCTTTGAGTCGTCACACAGAAGTGATTAAGTGATTTTCAGGAGTAAAGGGTTTGTGGCCCCCCCCCCCCCCCCCATGTCCATTGTCTGTCAATAGGCCTACCACAGTTTCTGTCACAGCTCTGTGTCTGACCAGAGTGTGTGAGAACGGCTCCTACCACACACACACACACACACACACACACACACGCATGATTAGTGATTACTCATTCATACTGGCTGTTTGAAAGGACGTATCTCGTGCCAGCAAAAGAGAGCAAACAGGAAAAAAAAAAGAAAAAATTGAAGCGAGTGTGTTCGGCGCGGTTGCCTTATATGGTAGGAGGCATTGCGCTGTCCACGGTGCTGAATCCGACTGTACGGCTGGCATAGGTGGTGGTGGTGGTGGGGGGGGGGGGGGGCGATGGAAGGGGGGGGGCATGCAGCTAACTACATTAATCAAACACATACGCACGCTCACACGCAATCACACACACACATACAGCGGGAGTGGGGATATGGGCTCGGAGCATGTGGCAGTGAGTGAAGGGGCAGATGACATACGTTACATTCATTGATGGGAGCTCTGCTGCTGCTGCTGCTGATGGAGTCAGCACAGCAGCAGCAGCAGCACCCCATAGGCTTGGCTTGCGCTCTCAAGCAAGCGAGATGACAGAATGCTGAGGCTCCACTCCCTGCTTCTTTTGGGGGGGAGACATCCATTTCACCGCACCGGCCCAACAAACGCATTCCCTCTATATACTTTAGTGACTTTAAATCAGCGGCTAAACGCACACGTCAGCCTGCAGGTTTCGGATGAGAAGGAGAACACACATGCACAGAGTGTGGCCCTCCGCTGCTCACCCACCACCACCACCACCACCATCATCCTCATTCTCACCACGGGCAGCACGAACATCACCCAGCCTGATGCAAATGAAGGGATCCACATTTACCTTTCATCCAGTCCAGCACTTGCTTTGGTGTCCATTTACTTATAGGTTCCATAACCAAAGCCATGGTGTCACAGTCTCTCCGAGATGAACGGCGCAGGACTCAATGCGGGCGACATAAAAAAAGGAAACTTGTCAGTCACATCTGGAATGACACGGCGGTGGGCGAATCTGAGGGAAAAGAGAGGTTTGTCAGTTTTATTCTCTCCATCAGTGCATGGCCGCCTGCAGAAACGGTGAACGGGATGCGGTGGTGCAATCCACGCGCACACACGGAGACACGCACACACGCGCTCTCTCTCTCTCTCTCTCTCTCTCTCTCTCTCTCTCTCTCTCTCCTTTACCCTCCCTCCTTCTCGTTCCCTCTCTCTCTTTCTCTCTCTCTCTCTCTCTCTCGCTCTCTCGCTCGCTCGCTCGTGCCTTCCCGCCAGCAGCCCGCGCGCTGTGAGAAGTGGATTCGGTGGGCGCGAGGGGATGGAGCGAGCCCTCCCTTCTCCTCCCGCCCGCCTCGCTGCAGCATCACAAGGGCCACCACTCATAACACGGACCAGGGAATGGTGCAACGCACACCATATAGGGAGGATCTCTCTCTGCCCCCCCCCCCCCCCCCCCCCCCCCCCCCCCCCCCACACACACACCTTACATATGCATAGAGAGAGAGCAATAGAGGCTGTACAAAAATTACTTAAGCAACCCTTTAATGAAATGCGTGGTAAAAACGCCATAATAGCGCAGTAGGGTCATTTTTAGTAACACAGACATACCATAAGTATACATGACTTATTACAGAAATTACACGTTTTCATGATTTGTATTTTCACAAATAATTCGTGTCATCATTAGCGTGAAACATCGCTGTTGTCTGCACGTTATGTGTGGTAGCCACATCACAAGACAAGGCAGTGCTTATATGTCAGCTGTTTCTTTTTTTCTTTTTCTAAATTCACCACAATCTGTGGATGAGGAAATCAGCATCAGTTGTCAGGCGCTGCTGCCCGGTGCATGAGCTCCGCTGTGAGAAACAGCGCCCCCTGCTGCGCACCTGGGACACAGGTGACGTCATGGATTAAAGCAGCATCCCTCCACGCACACACACACACCACATCCACCAAAATAAGGCTCACTTTATATATATATAGGAAGATGGGGAAAGTAGCAGGAGATAGGATAGACAGATAGACACACACACAGCATACAGTAGGAACAGATCACAAAACACAATGATCATACTGTAGAATAACTTACTTTATTTCTGTTACACGGAACCGACAAACAAAACAAACAAAGTTTCAAAGTGCAGGTATGCCACGTAGCTCCATACAAACCCTCAAACAGATTGGGATGCTCTACAAAGTAACAATAATGTCTGGTGGAGTCCTTCAAATGAAAATGCATGGCACTCAGCGGCTGTGTTTATGTTATTGGCAAGGTACCTCTAAAGGGGCAATGTTTGTTTCGACCTGGTTCAAAGGACAGAACATTTATTGCACCATTTGCCTAATGGCTCGGATTGCTGCGGACTAATTCTCCATGCATGCTCTGTGTCCTACGGCCATGTCTCTCTCCCTGATACATATTGTTAGCCATACTGCAGCAGAAATGCTAATAAGCTATTAGACTGTAATAAGTCGTATTTCTGACGGTGCAGTATTACCTAGGATGAAGAGATGTTAAGGACCAGAGTGATTTTGTAGCTAAATAAAACATCTGGGATACTGTTTCTCTTACAGTCGTTTGATGACTAAGATAAAAAAGTGATACAATTTATTGCACGACTATAGCTCAGTGCAGTATTGTAAGGTTCACAATGTAAGTATCTGAATGTAAAAAAAATGCAGATTTTAACCTTCAACCATCATTTTGAAATAGAAAAAAAGCATCAATCATGCACAAACTTTTCCTGTCAATAATAATAATAATTGATTTTTAACAAAAACAACATTTGCTATCTTGTATCACAAAGTGTAATAAGTATGTATCCCGCAGGGAAAACAGTCACTCTAAACATGTTCTGTTGGCAACATTTACAGCACCTGCTGTACATTCAAGCACAGCTTCAGTGACAGACTAAACTAAAGAAACACGTCGAAGGATACTCTGACATGCTGATGAGGACACAGACCCCGTTCCCTATCCAAAGTTTCGTCTGCTTCCATGTCTGTGACCTCCTCCTCCTCCAGCGGCCCACTGAACAAAGTCAATGGTGGGCGGGACCACGGCGCTCAGTTTTCAGCCCTTTCCGAATGTCACAGCGATGATCTTGAGCTCCCATTGGCTCATGTCTGCGAACACGTCACAATCATGATTAGAATTGATGATCGGACGTTCTGATTTCATTGTCTAGCAAAGGGGACTGGTGGAGAAATCTGCTGAATTGGAGCGCTCGTCTGATTTTGATATCAAATATGGTAAGTGGTAGAGTGACTTCACTTTTCGCTTCAGGGGGAGAAAAAAAACCCGACTTGTTTTCGTTGGTGTCCGCCCGAAGCCATGGGGTCAGCGCGAGCGACCGTGCCAGGGGAAATCATAGATTTGAAGGAAAAGTTTAGCTGCAGCTATTCACGGGGGGAGAGCTAATGCTAATGCTAGCATAGCGTTTGGTTGGCTCAGATATGGCCGCTCGGGCCTGCAGGCTAGCGCGAGCTGTTTTGAAGTGGCCATTGTGCTGATGCGGCGCTTACCCCCGGTTTGTTTACCGTCTGGCTCGCGGTTGTAAAAGTTATGGCATGCGCCTCCTGTGCGGGATATTGGGTGACTGAGTCCCCGGGCTGTCGCCTCGGCGGTGTGCTAAGCTGACGTGCCCACAATGTATTCGCTAATTCTCTCTCCGTAATGTTTCCATATTGGCTGTGGCCATGCGCAGTCAGCCTGCCAGAATAAACCCGCTGGACGCTTATTGGTCGCACAACATTCCCGTATGTGACATATTTCTGTCTTCCTCAGAAAAACCTCTGTTCCAAACGGAGCAGTGAGAGTGTTTCTGAGGTGACTGTAGGCTGTTTCCTCCCTCTCTCTCCCTCTCTCGCTCAGTGAGTGTACACACACACACACACACACACAACACACGCATTGAAACTCGTCCCACCGGATCTCATCTCAATAATAGTTCTGTGAGTGTGGCACATTGAAAAGATAGCTAGCTGTGAAGTCGACTGTTACCAATTGTTTTTTATTTTTATTTTTAAGGTTTAACTACTAAAACTAGATTATGTTCGTTAGATTACTTTATAAAAGTACATCTGTAGCTGGATTGTGTTTAACTTGAGCGTGCTTATGATACATGATCAAGTTTAGGGTTTTTTTTTTTGCCATAAGGTCAGCCATAACTTGCAATTAATACGTGCGTAATTGTAACTCCATAGCTTATGCATTTAAATGGTTTTCAGTTGATGAATAGATCAACGTTTTGCTGGGGACAACATCGGCTATTAGCGTGATTGATCATGCTATTGATGCTACACAGTGGCTTGTCACAGCTGTGACAAGCCACTGTGTAGCATCAATAGCCTATTATACTTTGACAGACAGCGCGTTGTGTATTTAACAGCTTCACAATGCTTGCTCTAACTTTTCTTCAACATGTTGTAATATATCATATGGCAAAGTGTTGACTGGTCGTCTACCGTTTGATGAAACTGATCCGTGCACATCTCGACTACCAGGAAAGAAAACTAGTCTTTTGTTGTTATTGAAAGGCTACAGAAGCAAGCTCACGGATAGAGTTGTCATTACTCTGTCATACTCTTCTTTAATGTTTTTTATTTACACTCTTTAAGCATAGCGTTGTCTGCGTTGCTTTCTCCTCAGCCACATTATCCAGCGGTGTGTCAGGTTCACTGAGACACGATGAGTGCAATCGAACCTTTGCTGGTCTAGAAACATGGAGGTTTTGCTGTGATCTGCATGGCTGCCCCGTTCCCCTCCAGTGGCAGAATGGATGCATGGGCACAGAGGCGCTGCCTGCAGACTGTGAGTATCTCCAGAGTTGTATTCCAATGTCAGCTGGAAAATAAAAGACAAAGAAAACATGGCTTGAAATCATGACAAATGAAGAACAAAGCACAGGGACCGCTGCTGCAGTTGTAATCTTGAGACTGTGACATTGTCAAGGATGTAGAACTATGTAATAATTGATGCATTTGCTAAATTAGTGTTTAATATGAGAAAAGGGTGCGATAATTAGACTAAAATTGGCTGCAAAAACATTCACATTACGTCCCATAAACCAAAGAGAGGAAATTGCCCGAGTGTCATGAAGTTGTAAATGCGCACTAAATGCTTTATCTCTTTGACCTCATCATCTACCACAATCCGCCCGTGAGTTCTTTATCTCTGTCATTGTCTCTCAGATGAACCTGCGGTCGGTGTTTACGACTGAACAGCAGAGGATCCTGGAGCGTTATTATGATAACGGGATGACCAATCAGAGCAAGGCCTGCTTCCAGCTAATACTGCAGTGTGCTCAGGAGGCCAAGCTGGACTTCAGTGTGGTTCGGGTAGGCCCATAGAAATGTGCTTGTGTGTTTGTGTGAATGAGCAAAAGGGAAGCACAACTCTGCCCTATGGTTTGTGGCGCACCGTTGCGGGGGGATGGAGTAATGCAGAGTCATAAATTATTATCCAGAACGTTTTGTTAAGTGACATTACTGAGCTGATTGCTCTTCTTCCCCCGCAGACATGGGTTGGCAACAAAAGACGTAAGCTGGCCTCCAAGGTGGAGCAGAATGGAGGCATGTCTCATTCCTTCTCCAGTCACGGACTCGCTGGGGGATTACTCTCCAGTCACTCGTTAGGCGGAGGTCCGCTGTCCAATCACAGCCTGGCGGCAGGGCCGCTGCTTCCCGCTGACCTGGCTGCGGCGCGGAACATCCAGAACCATGTACACCTCCTCCCCCCATCCTCGTCCTTCCCCTCTTTCTCGTCGACATCTTCCTCCCCTTCCTCTTCCTCTCCCCACAGCAGCGGAAGCAACAACAACAACAACAACGACGTCATACTGACCGGGATTTACTCCGTCAACTCCGTCCCCCACTCCCGACCGAGACCCCCGGCGCCCCCATCTCAGTCAGACTCTGAGCCCTCGGCACACACGTCCTCGTCTCTGTTCAGCCGGGCCCTGCAGAGCAGGAGCAGCTCCGCCTCCTCACCCCTCCACTCCAAGCTGGTCTCGCTCTCTCAAAACCTCCCGCCCCTCACATCTGCCTCAGGGCCTTCAGTCTACACTGCAGTCAGGAAGGGAGCTTTATCCCTCGGGGGGGCAGGGGTAAGTGCAGGAGCAAGGGTAGTACCTCACAGCTGGACTAGGCAGTACGGTACAGCGCAAACTCGCCCTTGGTCCTCTTCCTCACAGCCCCAAACTCAGCCTCAGCCCAGACCTCACTCCAACCCTCAACCTCAACCTCCTGCCCCTCAGAAGACGCGGGTGCAAAGCTCTAGTCCCTCCTCCGAACACACACCTCGTATCCAGCAGGTCTTCACCTTGTCAGAAGGAAGCGAGGGGGAGAGACTCAGAGCCTCCCCCCCTCGCTCGAGTCATGAGTCTACCCGAAAAAGCCAGGAGGCGCCCCATCCCAGGGATGCCAGTCAGAACTTCTCCATTGCCATGGAAACCGGCGATGAAGAAGATGAGTGGCAAAGGGAAGAGGAACTGGCAAACATGGCCGCCCAGACACACCTCCACAGGGAGCAGACGTCAACCAGCCCAACCGGGGCTGAAGTGTCTGCAGCGAGGGGAGGCCACACGCCGCCTATGGCGAGACCCAGACCCGCACTGCTTCACGGCAACACAACTGTTCAGGGCAGCTACTCCGTCACAGCACAGACCTCACTCACAAGGGAATCCGGCTCACAGGTAGGACAGGTTCTAGCGTTGTGGCCCCTTCCCTTCAAAGTGAATCCAAAGACTTGAACCTGACTGTGTGTGTGTGTCTCTGTGTGCAGACTTCACTCGGTGTGTCTGCCGGCCCCTGGATTATCAGCAACTCCAGAAAGAGAACAGTCAGTACTTTGTTTTTGTCACTTTAAACACAAAAAATATACATTTAAAAGGTACCAGGTGTACTGTATGGTTATTACACACTTACACTCACGCAGTCTGCTTACCATCAGCATGAAACTTCTATAGTTAAAAGCAGGTTTTGTTGTTTTCAGCTGCAGGATCGGACCCAGTTCAGCGACGGGGATCTCATCCAACTGAAGCGCTACTGGGATCGAGGCATGACCAGCCTGGGCTCCGTCTGCAGGGAAAAGATCACCGCTGCAGCCAACCAACTCAATGTAGACACTGAAATAGTCAAGGTAGCCAACAGTATTTTACAAATGCAGACGAATCTAGAAACATATGCCCCCCCCCCCATGCTCCTGGCATATAATGTCTGCAGTGTCTTTGAAACTAGAGAGATGTTTTGTAGACTTGTTCTCATCGTCCGGCCACTCGTCTATGACATTTAGCGAAAACACGACCATTTGACTCAACTTTAGAGAGCTGAAGGAAAACAGGAAAGAGCAACTTTTCTAGGTCACTTACTTGCTCAAAAGTTGTGTAAAAGTCACGCAGTTACATATCAGGGCCACCGTAGGAATGCTGATGGACTAAATATAGTCTCTCAGTCCTGACACACACATGACCCGCTGCCATCTCACTTACTGGGATATTTATTGCAAGGAAGGAGAAACAGTACACCACCATCAGGATGATCTTCAAATCACTGCGATAATTAAACAGCTTAATATTAATTTAGTTGAGGGTCTATATTTATTTTGCGTGCAGATTATTTATCCTGATTTAACCATCACATTCATCACACTTTATTTTGAAAAGCGTATTGGTGTCATTGCATTGTAGTCGAGCATTTTTTGTTCAACGTCTGTGACACTTTCCGTGTTCTCTTATTCCAACCGGCAGACATGGATCAGTAACAGGCGGAGGAAGTACCGTCTGATGGGTATTGAAATCCCTCCACCTAAAGGTGGGCCCGCTGTATTCTCCACCTCATCCCCAGGAAACGAATCTCCGAGGGCCCTCAGCCCCGACGACGTGGGGCTCAGAACGCCCGAACTCGGAGATGACTTGAATGATGAGGGATCTGTCTGCCTGTCTGAAGGTTAGGCCGCTCACACAATGCACACACAAACACCGGAGTGTGCATATGAACCGTGTATCTCAGCATCCGCGCAATCTTCTTGCTTCTAGACGGCACGATCGGATCGCAGCATCGAGACGAAGAAGACGGGATAGATGTGTCCACTGCTACTCCACTGGCCAATAATGTGGTACGCCGTTATTACTTTGATATTACAGCACAGCCTTGTTCAATTTAGTCACTTGGGAACGGGCGCTACTCAAACATATATGTTCATATATTTGTTTGTAGCAACAAAACTACACCAGCCATACGTCAGCTGAGCACATTTTCCCATCATGCCTGGTCACGGCAGATGTTTTAGTGCTTTATCCCACCATGTGTTTCATGGTTAGCCCAAGCTAATTTAGCATAATTTTTACAGCACTGTTGAAGACACAAAACAGATGCACACAAAGCATCTTACATGACAAAAAACATGCAAACAAAACACAGATTCTGTGTGTAGCAGAAAACCTTTGTATCACCTTTCATCCATGTGTTTTACATAATAATAATTTACATAATAATACAGTAAATTACAGACACAGAACATAGGGAATAAAACCCAGAGCAGGACTCTCTTCTTGATCTAATCTCTGTGTCTTTTTTTAACAGAAGATCGAAGTAATTGATGAGGACGAGGAAGACGAATATGGAGTAGATGAAGATGGTGACTTAGTGGCTTCAGACCTGGAGCAAATGCAGAGCCTGCTGGAATTCAAGGTGAAGACAAACACAGGGCGGTGACAGATATTGAATATGAGACGCTAAATAAAAAGCACTTTAAATAACTTCTTGCCTCTTGCTTTGAACGTTTCAGCACGAGGAAGTGCAGTTCCTAGAGATTGAGCTAGAGAACCAAAAACAAAAGTACGACGAGCTCGTAAGCTTCACGAAGAGCCTGCTCAGCGCCGTGAGGAGCAATGACCTGGAGAGACAGCAGGTACGTTCACCGTCATGTTCGCGCGCTGACAGCCGTGAAGCGAAGCGCCTCCCCCGTCGGTAGACATTTCTCACCCCGAGGCCTGCTGTCGTTTGTGTGTTTAGGAACTCGTGGCCAGTCTACCTCAGCCTTCAGACCAGGACTGGGACATGACGGAGGAGAGAGGAACGCAGCCCGCCGACACGTCGGCGGACACGTGCTCCAACCACAACGGCTCCCCGATGGCCGGGGCAGAGTCCCCGCCAGCCCCGGCAAACGAAGAAGTCCCGCTGGTCCCAGTGAACAAAGACGACACATCGACTGAAGTTACTGAGCCCTCTGCATCAGAGGAGCAGCTGCAGGAGGCGGCTACAGAACAAAAGTGACTATGTCATGTACATCCGCTCACATAGACTCATACAGATGTTTCCACACTCCATGTAGAAGCTGGTTTCGGACTATACGGTTTTACACACATTTACACAAACACTCTGGTAAACTCATGCTCCACGCCCAGTGCCTGTGGATTGACGCTTCACTACGACTGTTGGGCTGACAAATGCCTTTTTTACTGCATATCATCTGCCTTGCTCTGGACCGGTCCGGAGAGAACAATAAACAACCTCTAACTTATCCGTGTGGCTGTTGTGTTTCCCTTTTCTTATGTATCAGCTCAGCAAATGTAGAAAAACAATACAAATGTAGAATGAATAATGTTCACATAGTGTAGTGGCTGATTTTTTATTACAGTTGCAGTCATTAAACTCAACAAACTACAAGACCGCCATGAAATTTGTCCAGATTCCAATCATAAAATTCAACCATGATTCATATAATAATGTCTGGCTTGTTCTCATTTGGCAGAAGATTTGAAAGATTTGACCTTTGATCATACGCTCCAGTTCAACTTTAAGACGATGCCCATGGTGACCTATCTATTATACTTTGAACAGACCAGCACTTTGTCTTGAGACGCTTTAGTAGTTGCCGAATTGGATTCACAATTGCGTTTTAAGTTTAAATTGTGGCTATAAACAAATAAAGACGTGTAGTGTATTACATTACCTCACCACACAAAGACTTCATGCCTGTGGGTGGGAGAGAGTGAGACAGAGCTGGAGGGAAAGTGGATGAGTTTTAAGCCTCTTATTTCCACTTGGACTCGGGATGGACAGGCTTATGGAACAGTGGCTTTAAAAACATTGAACTTACACCCTTAAGATCGGAGGCTTAGATTTATGGCTCACCACAAGAGGTGTCTGTTGTGCCCCCTAATTGTACTCTGCGTCAGCCATAAACTAAACTCCTTTGTGACTATTTCAGTCCCAAGCAAATGGTCCATCACCCGGATGCATGTGTTTCACACGCAGCATGTCACACAGCATCAAGTCCCCCCACGCCACCACGTCCTCTCTATCTCCAGATCCCTCGCTTCGGTTTGGATGGGGGGAAATCCTTAACTGAATTGCGTCATCAATACGTCAATAAACTCTCATTCACTGACGACCAGGTACGACGATAGCCGCCATATTCGCATCCATGGCAGGGTAGCGGTGCTCTCGGCAAGCGTATGGTCCAGTGATCAGCATCAACTATCCCCCCGCGGCGACCCCCCCACATCGCAATCCCGACAGCGGTCTGCTGCCACACGGCTTGGATCTGGTCATCAAAGCAGAATAGCCGGACTTCCACGGAGGGGAAGACATGCAACGTGGAGCGGGGGTCTAGGTGGACTACGATGCCTTAGACCTCGAGAGGAAACCTGGCACAAGATGGAGGTAAACAGCGTTTGTAGCGAGGTGAGTTGACAAATGCGTGCGTTGAATACTCATTTACTTCATTGTTTTGGTTTGTGCCGTCCCGTTAAGTTAGCTTGCCCTGCTAGGCTGGGTAGAGCTTAAATTCGCGTCACGACATGCAGCTCACCGTGATGCATGCTAACGCACTAGCTAATGCTAACAGCTGGTTAGGTGTTTATTGTTGTTGCTCCGTCCGGGTTTATTAGTTTGATAGCTGCCCGTCCGGGCTTTTACAACCGCTCGTTGTCCCGTACAGGTGACGGGCTCTCAATCGTGTGGCGCGTGACCTCCTCCTAGCTTTTGTTGTTATTTACACTTCTCGAGAGGAGTTTGCCTCCTAGCTAGCTTAGCGTATGTAGCATTAGCATGTAGCTAGCCTGCTAGCTGACAGCTTGCAGGCTTGAAACTTGGGAGACAAGTTTTTTTTATTCAGCCTCCACCAGTCGTGTTAATGAAGAGCTGGTGAAGTGTTTCTATATATCTATGGTACGGATATAGAACATTTCAGCAACGTTACATTTATTCAAAGTTTAACACTAAGGGGGTTAAATGTGGTCAGTGAGGGCTGGCAGCAGCACAAGTGAATCAGTGATGCGGTTGTTAGCTTTAACTCTCGTTTTATAAATCTACGTAAAAACTCATTTCATTTTTTTAAAAGCTATTCATCAACACATAGCAGACTGTACATTACCGTGTATTAGCTGCATTAGTAAAGTGGAACGGTGATTAAACATTACCGCTTCATATTCTGTCCACCAGGTTCATAACAACAGGAAACTCTTAAACCGTTGTATTAAATATGAGCTAACTCGTCACCTTCAGACCTTTTTTTGTTTTTGTTTTAGTGAAACCAATGATACCTTTCAAAGACTTCTCTAAATGCTGTGTTGTGACAACTGTGGAAAGGTTCAGGTCGCTTCTGTACGGGCCCCACGGTGAGGTGTCTTCTCATGTGCAGCTAAGCCAACCTGACATCCTAAACCTCTCCGTCTCTGGGATTCTTTGCAGTCTTTCACACCTACAGTCCAAACTGTCTGTGTGGCTGTTTGTAGATCCAGCAGAAAGCTATTGCAACATCCATTTCTCACCTAGTCCATTCTTTGTTGAGCTAAACTGCCCCCTCTTCCTCTTCCTCCTCCTGTGTTTGAAAGACTTCTACCACAGCATTTTTAATCTTTTTGGGGAGCTCGTTTTATGTAGGTGGCATGATGGAAATATTGAATAATTCATCAACTGTTGTGTCCCAAAATATTACTGTGTCTCAAAAAGTTTTTCATCTCTCGCCACAAGTAAGCAATACACGTATCCACTTATGCTGGGCTTGTGGTCACCCTGATTGTTTAAATCACTTCTTATCAGTTCTGATTTTGAAGTTGATATGCAATCAAAGGATTGCGTGCCGGTACCGGTGACTGCGAGATGATATTGTGTGTGTGGCTGTCGGGCATCTTTTCAAATGGCTGAAAAAAGGCTCGCCCGCTTGTGCTGCAAGTGTAGGCCGCGCTATGAGCCACAGCCAAAGGTGGGAGTGAAAATGTATGTGTGAATTATGACACAAGCACTGCCCTGGCTTCAGAGATGCACCGAGGCTTATGTCTTGACATTTCTGTCCCCGCGTCATCTCTTTGCTTTTGAGGAGTACACAGTGACTGATTTTTAAAATGAGTGTTTACGTGGATGACGTCATTCCATAGTGCCGTAGATATTGGAAAGTGGTTTGCTGGCCTCTGTTCTGTGGATGTACGTGAGTGTATGTTGGTGGCTCCACCCACTGAGTGGGCTTGCGTAGTGCTATGACTCATTCCCCCCCCCCCCCTCCTCCTTGATGGAATTCAACACACAAACACACTGGACTGAATACATCATGCAGGCTGAGCTTTGGCACAGAATTGAAATGTGCAGACCTGGTTAACGTTACAGCGGTCAGTTTAATCGTCTGATTTTACTTGCGGTTGCTGGATTATCTGACATTCCTCTGCTGACAATATCACAGTGGATGTCTATTTAAACAAACAGGCACTAATCTGGCTCTTAAATGTCCAACTGTGGTCTTTTAAACAAAAAAAACAAAGAAGAAGAAAAAAGTAACAAGCATGTTGCCACCATCAGCCCCGAAGCCCTGAAAGAGCTGGACCCCAGTTTGTCCTGAAGAGGCTGAATGCTGGCTGCAGCCCCAGCAAACACCCGACTCTCAGAGCCAGTCAGACATGTTGTTTTTTGCCCTGGCTGGGGATTAAGCTAGAATGCTAATAATAAGGGGCTTTATAGGGACAGGATGAGCACTGGACAGCTGGACGGGCTCAGGGTAGGTACTCCATACTGTTTGACAACAAAATAAGAGCGTGAGTTGCAAAAGTGACAGTGCGCTGTTATTGCATGTGACTCACGGATTTCATCTGTTGAGTCCTCCGTCATACATGTGGGCGAGCAAGGCAGCTGCACTCACAGCCCTGCTCAGCTGAAACAACAAGGATGAGCAAGCTTCGTGGAAGGTGCTCGCTGTTGCCGACTCTGATGAGATCTTTTGCTTTCGCTGCAGGTCAACGGACATGAGATCATGGACGAGCCCATGGAGGAGGGAGAGTCTTTCTCACACTGTGTAAGTAGCGATGGTCTCGGGGAGCGTATAGGCGGGGCAACAGACCTGCGGCGGTCTCATACCGATACTGTTTTTGTGTAGGATGAAGAGACATACGAGGAGATTCCCATCACCCACCATGTGAAAGAGGGCTGCGAGAAAGCCGACCCATCTCAGTTTGAACTGCTCAAAGTCCTCGGCCAGGGCTCTTTCGGCAAGGTGAGGAAACGGAGCCGACAAATCAAATGTTTTCCATCGGTGCGGTCGCACTGGTGTTGTTGTATCTTTCTCAATTCCCCCCCCCCCCCCCCTTTTTTTTTTTTTTTTCCTCAGGTGTTTCTTGTCAGGAAGCTCTTGGGTCCAGATGCTGGTCAGTTATATGCAATGAAAGTTCTAAAAAAGGCATCTTTGAAAGGTAAAGCAACTTTGTTTTCGGTCCGGATCCACCCGAGTCGCCCAAAGCGGTGTGTCCTCAGTGCTGAATC